AACCGGGCCCATTTTAGTAATTTTGCCATAATTTCCTAATTATTCATCGAAATTGGGCTTATAATATATCGTTGGAAAGCACTTTTCGAACCCGACCCAACTACACTATTATTGGACCTTTTCCATGGACCAAACCAAACTAGATTGAGTGTTTTCTTAAAATAGATTTTCAAAAAATAGAGAGAAAGAAAAGAAATAAAAATTATCCGCAACACTAGATTTTCCACACTTTTACTTCATTCGATTATGATTCGACGTGAAAGGTACTCATCACTGGGTTTGGTTTTGGGGAGACACATTTGGGTGTCTACAATACCCATGCTAATGCATGAGTTATATGTATGTGTAAAAAACAAATTAGTATAATTGTATTAGTGGAAGTTACATAAGTGAAAGTTATAGATTTTTTTTTTAAAAAAAGAAAGTTAATTTTTTAAGTTACTTGTTTAGGGTTATTTGGAAGTTATTTTCTTAAAAAATAATAATAAAAAAATATATATATATAAAAAGAGAGAGAGAGAGAGAGAGAGAGAATGCATGAGAATTGAGAGTTGGGGGTTTGGTGTTTCAAAAAAAAAAAAAAGTTGGGGGTATGGAGTGCTATGAGGAAGTTTTGCAAAAAAGTCTCTTAAATTATACTTCCACCGTTTTTTATAGTTGCAACACATACTTTATCATGGTATTTAAGAAAAATGGACCTCACTTGATGTTATAATACACTTAAAATAGGGTAAAAAGGTTTTTAGGAGTATATTCAATTGAATCATGTGCTTTAATTAAAGGTAATAGTACAATTTTCACCATAAAAATCTTCCTTTTATGGTGTGTTACAACTATTGTAACATTTTCATTTTAAGGAAGTGTTGCAACTGAAGGATTTATGTCTTCGTCGTGTGCAATTACTAGATATATAAATGGATCAAATTATGGAGATAATTAAGTTCGTACATTAGGTCGTCGTTTTATCATAACTAGAGGTACTAACAATCTTTGGACTAGTAAAATAGGCCAAAGCCCAATTGGACGGATCCTATAAGGTCACAGAAAGGGCTTAGATAGAGCACGAGAGGACGAGGCCCATGATGGGTTTAATTCCCTATAGTGTTCGGCGATATGGAGTAAGGTTGGAGGGTTTTAGGCTTCCTAACCCTAGTCTAATTATAATGAGATTATAAATAGACTAGGTGCCTAGGGTTTGGTGTAAGCAATTCATTTGATTAGTAGGATCGAAAACCCGGGTTAGCAAACACGATACTAAGCCCCTCAAACTCTCTCTCTCTCACGACACTCTCTCCTTCCAGGCGCTTCTCAAGGTAGTTTGTGGTGGTCGGTTAGTCCATTAAAGGTGGTGATCGCGATTTTCCTCCATCACTCGACCAATCTAGTATTGGTGGACGGCTCCTTCGAAGCTCATGGACTAAGTAGAGGAGCAACGCTTGGGGCTCTATTCTCTCCTTGATTTGTCAATCAATTGCTACGTGGAATTCACGCTTCAAAGGTATGATTATGTGTCTTGTGTGTTATGCATGCGATCTTGGGATTAGGTGCTTCTATGAATATGATTCATGTTTTTCCGCATTATAGTACCTATAAACTCCTACAACAACTATAAAAAATGGAGGAAGTATAATAGATGTATAAATCGGGTTTCTAGTTGTTACCCCGACTAGACCAAAAATCTGGAATCTTCTATTAGTCGGGTCTAGTTCGATCCAATTCCGACCCGGGCCCAATTCTGCATAATGGCTAAGGAAATTTAACAAATGTAGCCCAATACCATAAAATGATTAATGGTAAAAGATGTAGGCTATACAAAATTTGAACTAAAAAGTAAAAACCATCTATTAGCGATCGCCCTAAAAATTGCATAATTGTAAATTAATCCCCTATTTGCGTCGGTCTAAAACTTATTCCCACAATATTGTCCACGTACGATTAATAGAAGTTTTTTTTTTAATTTTTTTTTTTAAGGATTAACAAAAAAACCGGTAACGTTGTTAGCAGTTCTTGTATTAGGTTCTTTTATTAGAAAATTCACATGTTAAAACCTAATACAAGAACCGCTAACGTCGCTGAACCCAAATAAATAAATAAAACACAAAGCTCCTACGAATCCTTTGTGGACCATATCATAGGAATAAGGGTTTGAACCGACGTAAATAGAGAATTAATTTACAATTAAACAATTTCTAGGGAAATCGTTCCGGCGTAGGCTATGCAGTCGGTGGCATGAAGGTAATACGAAGTATGAGTTATACGGATGCAATTGGTGTGGGTCAATTGTTAATATGTACTAGATGAAGCCCGTGCGATGCACGGTTTGTTAGTATTTTTTTTACAAAATCTAATCTTAAAAGATAATATTTGAATTTAATTAATTTAAACTTTAAAATCTCATTCGTCAATTTTGCTTACGTGACATTTGAATAATTTAATTGTAAAAGAAATTAATAATGTCTTATTTAATTGGCTACAACTTAAATCTATAATCTTACATGGCGCGCTAAGAAAATTAAATCCTACATGACTCTCTAAAAACTCGAGGAAAAACTCCCCTTTATATATATACTAGTATATATATTAGATTTGAGATTGATAAATTAGAGAGAGAAATGAATGCACATCAAAGTGGTTCAAAAAACAGTTGTGTATTGGATTGAATTAACCAACCACTGAACTGAAACCGATCTGGGAGACCGAGGGAAGCCCATGAGCTTGGTCTCACTTCACTGACCCATTAATATCTGGGGCTTTTATTTTGGGCTCTAACCCATTCAATTACGAAGAAAATAACACGGAAGAACATAGCATTTCCCTCCTCCTACTTCTGTCTTTGAGTTCTCCATTGATGCGCACTCAACATTGCACTTGACGTTCTCCAACATTGGTAAGCTGTTGTTTCCTCTTGTAATCATCATTTCATTTTCAGTGCAGTAAGTTTAGGGTTTGAAAATTATGGGCCTATTTAATAATTCAATCAAAGTTGGTTACTAATGTATTGCATTCAACTATGAAATTGGACCTAGTGCAAGTTATAATAATTTTCCTCTCTTCTCTCTCTAAAACCCTAGCCTCCATTGTTGAATTTTGAAGGGACTTCCATCGGATTTACCGGTGGAAAGCCCCAATCGTTGTTTCTTTTGTGCCTTTTCTCTTGCTTTAGGTTTATAATAATTCTTCCTATTCTAGGAGGAATATTTCTCCCTCGAAAGACAGGGTTTTTCTTCCTCTTTAGGAGGATTTGGCTCCTTCGAAAGACCGGGATTTTCTTCTCTCTTTTGAGGGAGGATTTGCTTTTAATTTCATGTGTTGCTATAAAGTTGTTTTATGGGTAAAATTTTGTGCGGGATTGAAAAAGAGATTAATATTTCTACAACAATCGAACGAATCAGACGGAAATTTTCTGCACGGTTACAACAGATCAATAGACCCCCTTGCAAAAAAAAAAGGTTGTAAATCATAGCGATATGAAAGAGGGTATGAAGAAATGACGATTTGCAACAACGATCGTAGCTTTGCTTACAAAATGTTTTTATTTGATTCAATTATTATGTATTTGTTAGATCTTAATCTCTTTGTAGATGTCGCATGACTTATTTATGAATCAATTTTATTTCAAAAAAAAAATGAAATTGGACCTCGTACGAAGTATATTTTAGCAAAACCAATGTTGTTGTCATCATTTCGAAAACAATTGATGTATAATTATATTAATACTATTGGAGTATTAGTTTGCTTTTTTTCGATTAAGAGTATATTGTAATTGCATGTAGAATTTGTGGGTTTAATTTTATCTGAAATTGGGCAATTTTGTAATCTCCTATTCATGAGTTTTTGACAATCTAGGGTTTAATTTACGAAAATTTCACCAAATGCCTCTGAGTTATTTTTTTATTCACCATATACCCATGAAAATTTTCAAATTCACCATATGCCCTTGAATTTGATAAAAATGTCACTAAATGCCCAAATGACTAACGGACGTTAACTCCGTTAGTCACTAGGGATAATATTTGCCACGTGGCTTCATCTCATTGGGTTGTTATTATAAATTATTTGATCATTAATTATTAATTAAAAAAAAACTTTGAATTTTTTTGGTTAAAAAAAAAAACACCAGCCACCCACCTTCCCCGGCGGTGGACCAACCTTGCACGCCCAGCCCACTGCCACCCACTTCCCACTAGCCCCGCGCCGGCGCCACTCTCTCACCAACCCCCCGCCGGCGCCCGTTGTTTCCACTAAACCACCATACCCTCTGCCTCCCTGCCTAAGCTTGAATCGTAAACCACTTTTCGTATTCCCACCGTCGCCAAAACCCAGGCCATCACCTTGAAATCACTTTGCCGGCAACCCAAACCCCCTATCACACGACGCCGCTTCCCACCTTAGCCGAAACCACCACATTGAAACCCTAGATTTGGATTTTAGGGTTTTGGCGTGGTGGTTTAGGGGGTGGAGATGGTAGGGGGAGGAGTGATTTGCCTTCGTCAGTGCGGGAAGGGGGGTTTGGACGCCGACGGTGAGGAGGGGAGGGTTTTTTCGAGGAAAAGAGGGGTTTTTAGGTTCGTGGACAAGGAGGTTTAAAGGAAGGCCGCCGACGAGTACGCGGAGGGTTAAGGGAGGATTCTACGCCAGCGCGCCGGTTCAGGGGCGGATTTTGCGCCGACACGCAATGGCAGGGACAGGCGGTGGTGCAGCGGGTTGGTTGGTTGCCGATGGGGGTGGGGGCAAAGGGATGGTCTGCCATGGGGGTGGTGGTACGGTGGGGAAAGTGGCTGGGGTTTGGTTTTTTTTAAAAAAAATCATTTAATTTTTTGTTAAATAAAATAATAAAAATGAACCAATTAAAATATGCCATGTGGTATGATTAGTCTTAATGACTAACGGAATTGACGTCTGTTAGGCATTTGGGTATTTGATTACATTTTTGTGAAAGTCAGGAGTATACGGTGAATTTGAAAATTTTCATGAGTATATGATGAATAAAAAAATAACTCGGAGGCATTTGTTGAAATTTCCGTTTAATTTGATTGTTAAGTATAGGGTTTGAAAATCTCAACTATCAACTATCAATCCCACCAACATCAACCAAAAATGGCAGCGTCACTGCTCAAAGCCCGGCACTCCAACCACCACATCACCACCATTTTCCGCCATTCCTCCACCCTCTCCACCACCAAACCCTCGCATCACAATGAACACAGCCAAAACCAAGTATACCTTAAACCCAGCAACATTATCGGAAGCTGGGAACCCCCGAAAAACCCTAAGGAAGCACAAGCCAAACTCGCCTTCCTTCGCCGCGACTATGCCAAGCAAGTCAAGGAGCTTCGCAAGCAGTATATCCATGAGATGGAGTTGCAGAGAGAGGAGCAGCTGCGCAAAGATGAAGCACGGAAGGTTGAGATTCTTCGGCAAAGGGAAGAGCGGAATAAGTCTAAGGCTGCTGCTGCTCAGGCTCGTGCTGTCGAGCGTAAGGCTTTTGAGGAGGATTTTCGCAATACTTTGGTAATGTTGTTTGATTCTTAATCTCCTTGATTGTGTTGTGATTTTTGTTGTTTGTGGAATTTTAGGTGTGAGAATTAGGGTTTTGTGTGTTATTGATTTAATTGATTGTTTGGGAATTGTTTTTTGAGGATGATTTTAAGGTTAGTGATAAGAAAATGTTGTGAAATTTGGAGGATCATCCCGTTTTTTTATGATTTTGAGGATGAATTTTAGGTTAGTGATGTGAAAATGGAAGGATCATCACTATATTTCTATGATTTTTAGTTTAATGATGCAGAAATGCCGTTAAATTGGGAGGATCATCACTGTGTTTCTATGATTTTGAGGATGAATTTTACGTTAGTGATGTGAAAATGCCGTGAAAATCAGATTATCAGCACTGGTTTTTTATGATTATGTGAATGTGTTGAGGTGGTACACGACCTCAATGATGGGTTTTTAAGGTTTGATTACTTAATTAGCCGAGCTGCGTAAATTTGGTGACAATAATTTTTTTGGGATTGTTATTGCACAAATGAATTGAATGAATGTAAGCGAATGAATTGAATGAATGTAAGCTAATGACAAAATAGGAAAACATAGATAGGGAGTAGAGACTATGGAGTTGGACTCTGTACCCTAAGTATGGGTTTTATTAAACATGTTTGAAATCTAATACGGAGTAGCTTAGGTTAAAATTACGTAAAAATTACTACTCATACTACTAGGGAAGATATAATCAGTTGATGAAACATGCCTCTTTGGGATGTACAGGCAACTTATGATGCCGTTATGAAAACTACAGTCATTTGTGTTTTTTATTCTTATCCTTGATTTCACCTTAGGCTTTCCAAGTTTCATGCTGGATCTAATTGGTTGGAACAGTGCTCAAGTAGACTGGTTTAGGTCTAATCATGGTTATGAGCCCATAGTATTTAATGTTATATGACTGCCACTACACCTCAATAACATAGCAACGAGCAATCTATTAGCAACCCCCTTCATAAGTAAAGTGAACATTCTACCCAGTGATATTGCAGCGAGCAATCCACATAAAGTCCAAGGTAAAACCCTTCATATGTCATTTGCTAGACCTCTAAAACCTAGAATTGTAAAGATTACTGAGTTGAAGATGGAGGTGTTGGTCACCTTAGCACAGTAGATGTGGTAGACTGGTTTGAAAATTCAGGCTACCTATGTTTGAAAACAATATTTGTGAGGTCATTGATCTGTTTTTTTGCAGTGATGGTAAAGATTGTAGTCATTGGATTTCGTATAAATGTATTGATGATGTATTGCTTTCTGAGAACTTTGGCTTTACCCATGTCAGCCTACCAATGAACTTTGGCTTTTTAAAGGAAGCAAAACAGAGTAACGGATTAGATTATTTGAAAACGATTAATGATTGACTGATTATAGTGGAATTATTTTTTAAGGGTTTTCTCTATGAAAGGGTGAAAGGTTCTCTTGTTAATCTAGGTCAAAATGTTTAATGCGGGAGACAACTGTAATTTACAAGCCAATGCTTATTTATACTAAACTCTCAGTCTATTTATACTAAATTAACAGATTTATAAATATACCCTTATATGTTGTTAGTATCAGGATTTAGTGTATATACAAGCTTCTAATGAGTTTAAAGATCCTAGCATCATTGCTAGCTAATTAAAAGATAAACAATAAGTTGGATGGTAAAAGTGACATTCATGAATCATGAGAATGCTTTTATGATATGAAGACTTCTTCAATCTAAAGTTGGTTGTTTTCCATAACCAGAAGTATGAATGTTGGTGTATGAAGATTACTGTTAAACTTTGTTCAATTTCATAATAGATCATTTTTTGATGCCTGGAAGGTCTTGTGATACTTCCTAAGATGGTATAAAATAAAAAAAGAAAAAGAAAAAAAAGAGCTACATAACTAGTGTTCCATCTCAGTTTTGTTGCTAGTTAAATGGCCCGTACAGTGATGAATTTTTATAACTAGAAGCTGCTTTCCCCTAAGAAATAGTAAGTTCCACCATGGTTGATTGGTTGATGGATAGACCAGAGTGAAATTAAATGGAGCCAACATTGAAACATGTTCACATTTAGTGTGAGAGAGTAGTTGTGCATGATAGATACTTAAAACCTGTATGAGTATTCTAATTTATCATATTGGTGGTCTCACATTCGATAATTACATAAGCATTGCATTCTGTGATAAATATATATGAATTGCATTCAGTGAAAATGGCATTGAGGGATTAGGTGGATGTATATTCTTCTACCTAGCTTGTTATTGTTCATCTGACTTGATAATTCTTTGTCGAATGTGTTAAACTGTATTTTATATATCTAATTCTAGACTTGAACTTCTGTAGATGAAAGAAAGAACAGAGAAGCTTGAATACTGGAGAATGAGAGAAAAATCAATAGAGGAAAAAAAGAACAATGAAAAGGAACTTATCCGTAGGCAAAGTGGGAAGTGGATTGAGGAAGGACAGATGGAGGCAATGATAATGCGAACAGTAATTGATCATCCCAAACAACTATAGATGCTGGCTAGTTTATGGGGTCATTCATGCAGGGCTGGCAGCTGTTCAACATCTCAAATTGTGCTCTCATTTGTTTCGAGTCGATTGATATAGTTTGGAGTTATGTATGTTGTCCCAAAAAAGTTGCACAATGCTACTCACACTGTTGTGATCTTGTAATCCGTCTTTTTACTGAGGTGTTTCAAATCTATCTCTGATCTAGGGACACAATTTTCCCATAGCTGTTACAACCTTAACTAGAGTGGCAGTCTGTCATAGAGTTTGAGCTTTTGGTGTATTTCTTTCTCCTATGATGCAATGATACTTTTGACTTAAATGGTTGGTGCTTTTGTGATAGACGTAGTTGGCAATGATAAATTTTGTGAAGCTTGTGCTGGTAATAATTTTCCAGTTTGTTGGTTTCAAGGAAAAGTAATTGTATTCTGACTTTTGCGGGGTGTTTGGAATGTGGGAATGGGAGTTTGGGGATTAAAATGTGGGAATGGGATTGGGAATTGATTGTTGGGAACATAGAAAAATATGACAATACTTTGTTTGGGTAGTAGATGGGAATAGATGGGTAATAAATAACAAAAATACAAAATTACCCTTATTAATCTTTCTCCTCCATTTCTTTCATTAATAGCAAAAATGTCATTTTGCACATAGTCCCATTCCCACCCATTTATTACTTACCTTCCCTAGGTAATAATATGGTGGGAAATCACCCCATTTATTTCCAATCCCATTCCCTTTTTTAATTCCAATCCCATCTAATAAACAAGATATTTTGTTTTATTTGGGATTAAAATTCTCATTCTCACCCTCAATTCCCATTTACCAAACACCCCCTTGGTGTTTTCAATAAGGATTAGTTTTTTTTTTTTTTTTTTTTTTTTTTTGGGGGGGGGGGGGGGGGGGGGGTGGTTGTTGCTATCACTGATGAAATACGCCAAGGTCTTGAAATCAAAAGTCTCAATGTCTCATTCACAGATATTCATTGTGATCTGTGTTCGTCCTTTGTTTTGGGGGAAGATTAGTAGAGGCCTGTTTTATTTTTTAATTTTTTTTTTTTTTTTTTTTTTTTTTTTTTTTTTTTTTTTGTGGTTGTGTGTTTGAACAAAGGGCTTTTATTAACAAAATTGTGATTTTTTTATAAAACTTTTACTATTTTGCGTTGGAATGAAACTTATTTATGAAAATTTAAGGAAAGATGAAAACTAATAATCTCACATTTGGGTTTATGCTCAAAACAATCCCACATTTTCGAAATCCCAAAACAATCCCACCTTTGCCCCTCATCTGCTCAAAACAAGCCTTTTACAGGTTTGTCAAATTAGTAACCTATTAAAGAAGGTGGCATGACATATGTCACCTTCTAATTGGTTTTCGTCATTTTTTTATAATAATTTTCTTAAAAAAAGATAATTAAAAAAAAATTAAAACCCCATTCCCACTTCCCCAATCCCTCCCCTGCCGGACCTCCCCTACCGGAGCTAATCCGTCCCCTTGCTGGAGCCAACTCCATCAACTTTCCTCCTTCCTTATCCAGTTATCCTTTACCACTTCGCCACCTTCATCCATTAATTCTAGCCAAGAGGCAGCCACCCACTCTTTCGCTAAAAACCGACCACCACCAATGTAATACCCTAAAATTTTCTACTTTAAGTTTCGAGACGAAACTTGTTTTAAGGAGGGTAGATTGTAATACCCTAAAATTTTCTATTTTAAGTTTCGAGGACGAAATTTGTTTTAAGGAGGGTAGATTGTAATACCCGAATATTTTATCAGTTTATATAATATGTTCTATAAAAAAAATAGTTATTTTTATCTATTAAATAACTTTCCTAATCTCATACTTTTATTTTAGAGTTTGGAAAGTTTTGAAACCCTATTATAATAATAATATTCATCTACAAGAAACTATAAATACCTTTCATGGCTTCACCCTATATTATTATTATTATTCTGATCTCTACAATTTAACTCTAGTAGAATTGCTTTTGCGCTTCGCTGTCATCAGTCATTGGCATTATCATATTAAGTGCTTTTGATTAATCTTTATAAAAACCTTTTATATCAAAGAGCACTAACAATCAGTCTTATGGAAGATATAGCAATTATGCCGTCATGCGTGGTCTTCTATAATTGTTATTGGATATGTTTTGGCAAGGTAATCACACGGATTTATTTTAGAATTGTTTGTATAATTATTACCTTATATTATTATTGTATAATTGGATATTCATATGCTTGAGTGTATGTATATATGATTGACGTATATAATTTTATGATATGATCTGATTTAATTGTCTTGCTATTATTGTTATATTGAATGATTGTGTTATATTTCTAGGGGTTTTTTTTAATGTTATTGCTATAGGGAGTATTGTTCTTGAGGTTTTAAGATTATTAATGCAGAGTATTACTTTGGGTTGATAATTAATTAATTTTGGGTACTAGTATTAGCCTAATAAGAGTTGAGATATTTATAAACCGAATATGTCGTCATATATGAATTGGGAACCTATGCCAATATTGAGATATTATTTATTATCATGTGAATGGTTATTTGATCGATGTATGAGATCAAATGGTTGAGAATTATTATTTTGTTCTTGGTTTGAGGCTCGGCGTTATATAACTTAGTCCTTGTGTGGGGAATATTTTTCAAGCGTTAACCCCTAGCTTGAACCCCACTGTGATCATACACTTAAGTACGGTGGCGTCCAAAAGGGAAGAAGATAGAGCAAAAGAGTCGCCAACAAGTTTTAGCAACTTGTAAACCGTTCACATGGTGAAGGTTACACCCCTTAACGATCCAAGAGATCGTCAACTCCATAAGGTCTAGAACCAAATAAGGGTTCGGGGATGAAGGTACAAATCCAACCTAAAAGAGATTGAACCTGCCCTAATAATAGGTCTCTACTCTATTCTGATCGTATTCATGTGCGCTTTCTGACTAACATGCAATCAATAGGATTAACCCTAAACCTGTTTATCTATGTTGGTTGAATTTAATGCACAAATAAATCTATTATTGGCGATCACTTGAATTATAATCAAATTAACTCTAAATAAGATTATTAATTATCTTATTAAGTGTGATTACAAGTACAAAATTCCCTTTAAACATGCATAAAAGGCGTGATCAAGCAATAAAAATAAATAAGCATCAAGCAACATAATAATAATAATAATAAATATCATGACAATAAAATTATAATCATCATCAAGATAATAATAATCATAAAAATCATCGTCATAAAATTATAATAATAATAATATTCATAATCATCATAAATCATAACAATTATAATCATAATCATGTTCATATTAATATTAAAGCATAATAAAAATAGCAAGATCCTAGGCAAGATACTAACAAGATTAATAACAAACCCTAGCATGTCACTAAGCAATAAAAATCAAACCTTTAACCCTAGCATGATAATAACAATCATAAATATTAGGAAGAACATAGGAAGCATCGTAACAATCATATCTATACTATATATTAAAAGGCGTTCCTTTTAAAGGAACGGTGCCACGTGGTACTCTTCAAAGTATGTGTGCTACGTCATAATGCCACGTCATCATCCAAATTATACGTAGCTAGCCACGTCATTTAAGTGAAATAAAATATGCTTTGAACAAGATTTGAACCCATAACCTCCAATACATATAAGTAATAAATTCACCATCTCAACCAATTATTATTAATGTTTCAAGCTGCACATAATATTATATATTCCTTTCATTTATTAAGTAAAATAAAGGTAATATAATTTATTTATTTTTCACAAGATTAGAATATAAAAACATATGATGTAAAAAAAAAAAAAAAAAAAAAAAAAGTGACATCCGAGGTAACGCCCGAACCACTCACACACTTACTATACAAATAATCGAACATAATTGCTAAATTAAAGCAAGAAGTACACAAACTCGAAACTCGGGGCACCGCTCGGGGTACACACTAGTTTAATATTAAAATTATCCTAGACATGATACTAGGAATATCATAATAACAACATAAACATGATTTCTACATCATAACATCAATAAAAATCATTAAAACACTTACTTTGATGCCTCGTACCTCTTTCTAATAACAAAATACACATGTTAGTAACTTCAAGGAAAATAATAATCAAAACAATTTAATTAAATAATTGAAATAGAGATTTGGGACCAAACCCTCAGAAATTAAACCTTTCACGTCTAGGGCGAAGGCAACTTCGAATGTGGCTAGGTGTTTCTAGGTCTTGTGAATGCGGAATTTTGTATGTAAAAAGCAAAGTTTAGAAAAGAGAGAGATGATGAATGAATGATTAGAGAGATTTTTGATGAGAATAAGCGAATGATTAAAGAGAATGAAAGAGAACTGAAAACTGGTTGTAGGTGAATGAAAACGGAGTTTTTATGTCATTATTTATAGAGAAAATCAGCCAAAAAGATAAAATTAACAAAAAAGAGTATTGGCGCACGTGAAACAGAGCTGGCGCCAACGCTAGCTAATTTGCGCCAGGCGCCAACACTAGCGCCAGGCCTAGCTCCAGGCGCCAATTCCTGGCGTCAGGCGCTGGTCCTGTTTTTGATGTGTTTTCGAAAATCAGATAAGTTTTGCCGCACAGGAGGATAAAATCGTATCTTTCCTCAAAAATGCTCTTTGATTTTAATTAAAACTCTGAAAAGTCAACAAAAGTCAATTTATCAATGCTAATTGAATTAGGAATGAAAAAAAACCTTCTAGAAGAATCTAGAAGACTAAAACCATTCCTAATTGCATTAGGAATGATAAATCATATTAGACCCTCCCCTAGATCATTGGGCCGCATATAAGGCTCAAACCGGGCCCAGTTTGGTAAATTGGCCATAACTTCCTCAATATTCATCGGAATTGGGCTTATAATATATCGTTGGAAAGCTCTTTTCAATCTCCATCCAACTACACTAATATTGGACCCATATCATAGACCAACCAAACTGGATTGACTGTTTTCTTAAAATAAGTTTCAAAAACAGAGAGAAGAGAAAAGAAATTAAAACTATCCGCAACACTAGACTTTCCACACTTTCAGTTCATTCAATTATGATTCGACGCAAAAGGTACTCATCACTGGGTTTGGTTTTGGGGAGACAAAAATGGGTGTCTACAGAAGCCCCCACTTTGGCTGAGTTTGGAGAAACGCAAGTTTCGAAAACAAAAGTCAAAGTAGCGATAGGGACGTAGAATGATTCAGAACGTTCTGCGATCCTAAACCACTCTTGTAACTTCGATACCTGCAAACTAGCGTTAGTTAAACAGATAAAAGAGTTAAGAAACTCGTATCTTGCACCGTCGAGCACACGTC